GCACGTTTATTTAACACACTCGCATTTAACTTTCCAGACTTAAATTTTATTTCAATTTTAGAATTCCAATTGTTAATAATTTTTACAGCCACTCCAATGCGTCGTTCAGAAATGGCGTCGATATTTCGCATAAGCGACGCCGATGTGCCCGAGCAAAGGATACCCACGTTAATCGATTACTCGATACACACATCGTATATAATAATATAATATACGTGGTTTACCTGAGCACGACCGGCTTTAATAAGAATTTACAAGCCGCTTGTATTTTTGCTAAATAACAAATCAAATTCATCACCAGATTACGACAATAATTGCAATATACAAATTGACTACACTCTTGATTCCACACGTACGTGTAGTGTTGTTGAATCACTTAATTATGTCAATTACTTTCAAATGAAGTACCACTTCGATTTCGATGCTTTCGAGCAGACATCATACTTTTTGCCGGGAATCCACTTATAAATCCACTTATAAATGTTCTGGATATAAGTTTATTAATAGTAAAAATAATAATTCAAATAATAGTAATGATTTTTACGTAAACAATATCTATGTTTTAATGAGAATTGCAACTTAACGAGTAATTGCAAACGAAAAAAATCCAGATGTCTGATCGTAATTGCTCTCTAAAATATATCGAAGTCCACGGTGCATATACATATTTATATATATTCGTCTAGCTTCGTCTTTACTTACGTCGCGCGTCGTCAGACGAATGTAACATCAATGACAGAATCAACTAAATACCACAGAAAGCGCGTGTGATACTATGATTAATAGCTATGTAGAACAGTCTACGATTACTTAACTACCTACTCGCAATCTTATAAAACTCCGAAAAACATCGCGACGTATTATAATTCACCGCTAGAACAAGTTCATGCGGTCGCTTAAGTCAATTAACAAAATCGTATTCAACATAATAGGAAAGCTGTTTTTAGACTATCGTACTTCTCTCCTCTCTTCCTCTTTTTTCTCTTTCTTATAAATCATTCGTCCGGAATGTATAAACTCCCTTCCTCGACACTTATCACTGGTATCGGTGCGAAGCTCTGCCCGTTACCCGATATATTTATATCACCGCGACAAATCTGCTTCGTATCTTGCGCGCTTTAGAAAATTGATATGTATTTTGTCTATGGATCGTGCCTTCTCACTTTCACATTTTTGGTGTTACAACAATACTATTATGGTCATTACTTTCAAGGTATGGTCAGGCTCAAAAGAGCTCTATTAATCCTGGTTGCTTTATGTATTCATATATATAATATGATAAGGTACATAATCCTTTCGACATTGATAAACTTGAGACGCGATTTCCGCAATCAATTTTTGTAATCAAAAAATATAATTTAATTGTCAGTTATTTTTTGTCTGATTTTTCTTAAAACAATTTTTTCACATCAAAAAACCTAATAATAATTTGACGCAATTGTTTTTACAAACAATCTCTGACTGTGTGAAAGTGCCAGTACAATTTTTTATTTACTGGAAAAGAAATTATGCAACATATATCAACATTTTTGATATTAATTAAATAAAAAGTTCCAAATCAGATGACTATATTTAGCGTTGAACATGATGCTAAATAAAAGTCAAAATGCTTTCTGATTATAGTTTTCATATAGGTTTACGGTAGTGCAGAAGCTTTAGAATCTCGAGGGTCGATCCTGCCGCAGGATTTTCCTACGAGGACGGAATTGGGATCTACAAGAAAAATTCAAAAAACAAAAATGTATTATGCTTCATGTGATTCATATTCTTGCTTTGATCTCTCTTCGCGCTATTATTATGGTAGATTGGTACAATCTAGCATCAGGTGGTGCATATTAATGTTTTTTTTCACAGCGTGATATAGTCTTTGTGAGGTCTATTGGTAGTCTTTGGATCAATACATTGCCATCTTTGGTGATCTCGCGTTCTTTGATCTCGCTTTCTTTTCCCTTTCAGTGAGCTTCACGTGGACGCGAAATTGTTAGTTTATATATTCAATTTTATGAGATATCTCCAACGCAAACATCATTCGAGTTGTAATTTACTGTATACAGGATTAATCATGCGAACCGATGATTCGATATTACTAAAATGAGAGTATATTTCCTCAGAGAAAAAATCGTACAATCGATTATAATTTAATACTGCAGATTGCTACTTATCTCTTAATTTTCGAAATATCTAAATTTAGATTTTAGGCATTTTGTATATTTGCCAAATCATTGGTCCATAAATTTTTGCATTTGTGAATATACACAAAAGGTTCAAACATATTTATGTACATACTTCTTTTCAATTTCCCCTTTATCTTTATTAATTAATAATAAAAAATTATTTATTTCATTTGTATTTTATTTGTTGAATGTCAACTGTACGATTTTTTCTCGAGTTTCTCGCTCGATAAATGACATTTTTCATGATTTTTTCTGAAATAAAAGAGCGCTATAGAGTCCCGATCACGCTCGCGTTTCGCATAATTCGTTTCGCAGCACATTGCGCACGATTTGCTTCCGCAATATATGCATATGTCTATACATGTATATACACATATATATATATATATATATATATATATATATATATATATACTATATTTCAATATTTTATATTAACTTCTAATATATATCATATATCCTTACGCGAATACCACTCTATGTTAATGTAATAATAGCGTACTGCCTACTGATATGTGTTAGTTCACTTGTAAAGCACTTTAAAATTCAATCTAATGATTCATCGATTCCGATCGTGGATAACGACGAATCCGTCTCTTAACGGCTAATTACAAAATAACGAACTATTGAATACACCGAATAATGCGTTTGTCGCGCCGCATCCTCGCATTTTTCCAAGATCGACGATCATCCCTCGCGATCGCAACATCCGAGCGATCACGGCCGCGTGATCTAAACTTGTTTACTGCACTTCTCACTATTCTTTTTGCTATACTTCTCTCATTACCTCTTTTCTTTTACTAGATATTTATCCTATTCGTGAATCATCCCCGGCAGATTTGAAACTCTTATCAAGTTTTCAAATCGAGTCTTTTTATCCTTGAAACTAGCACATTCCATTAACCCTTTGCACTTGAATGTAATTTATGTTATTTTTCTTAATTGCAAAAAACGCGATGACAATATCATGGTGTCTTTTTTTTTTTTAAGAAAGAAGGCCAGCTATGTGTAAGTCTGGTTCCAAGCGCATAAAAGCTTTCCATTTGCAAAGCTACGCTAATCGATTAAGTCTCTTTTTTTATTATTTAATTACACATTAATGTAATCATTTCATTTATCTCAGTTGAATACTCTTGTATGCAAGCAGACCTAAGTATCAGTTCATTTCACTGCTCCTCGAAATGTAAGGCCTCAATTCAATTACAAATTAGATTATACTTTCTAAAATTTCATAAATCACATTTTGTCGCAATGGCTTATTAAATCCAAAATTTGTAGCGTTAAGTATCAATTGTTGTCTCTTATCCATCCGATAATCTACGTTGATATATAAAGTAGGACTCAAGAGTAATAGTGCAAAGGGTTAGAGTGGAAATTTGAACATTCGGCTATAACAATAATATCCGTTGATTTATTCAATTATCTTCTTTTCATTCTCATGCGTTTATTCGGATGTATTGTGTCGTCAAGTCTCAGTATCGCGAAGTGATATTTCTAACGTAGTGCTTTCCAGTCGCTTTCCGTAGAAAAATAAAGAACGTGCTGGCGCGATCATGACTTGACGATCGATAACGACAATGACGGGCGATCAATGATGAATAATCGATCGATTCGCCCGAGCGCGTCGGTGGATGATCGCCATTACCGACATAATCCACTGTTAATCGGAAATTATTTTTGTTTCTTAAGTAACTTTCATTTTCATTAATTGCGGATGCATGTAATAAATGCCCAGTGATACAACGGGGGTTGCAAGGGTTGGTTATAAAACTCAAAAATTCATTAGCGAAAGCTGCATAAAATTATCGAAAGCTGCTCTAACAATCTTCGCGTTATGGCTATTTCATTAATACAACTATTACAATCTATTATAATCTCATGTTAAAATCAATACAAACATAATTACCATGTAATTATCTAAAAAATTAACTTATTAAACTCTTACATTAAATTATATATAAATATCATCATTAATCGTTTTAAATATGTTTACGTGCATTATGTAAGATTTCAATCATGCCAAAGAGAAATTATCAAGATAACTGTAACAGATTTTCATGAATTTTGTTTAGCCATTTTGAAAAATCCATTTCGTCGAAATTCTCTCCTTTTTCTATGAATCATTTTCTACGATCTACGAATTATTGTGAGATCTTTAATGCGCCTTCAGCTTTGCAGCTTTCCGCCATCGAGAAAGTAAGAAGGAAAGGCGGAAGGGAAAGGGATGTGCAATAGGACGAAAGAGAGACGAAGGGGGCATATTTTGGATATGGTTGCACGTTTAGAGAAGCGCCGGGAGTTCTCTTTTTGGGAGTTCGAAAAATCGGGACAAGACCTATGTGTGTAACGCGCTACCGATTACAGCTTGTGACTCGACCAACAGGAAGGCACTTGGGCAAATTACGTGCCGAGTTGGCCGCCGTTTCTAACACGCGGGGCACATTACCTTCACTATCACCCTCTTTTCTTCCGTCCGCTCTCTCGTTCTCTCTCTCTTTCTCTCATTATTCCGCAATTTTTACTTTAGAGAAGCGGACGGTCGTTCAAATTCTTTTCTCGCCGCATTTTAATTCTCGTCTACGGGCTTAACCCTATGATATGTTCGCGTTCGTTATGTATA